TAGTAGTAGTAGTAGTAGTAGTAGTAGTAGAAGTAGTAGTAGTAGTAGTAGTGGCAGTACAAATATTAGTAATATCTATTGTAGTATTCTTAGTCATAGTAATTCTCATATCAGGCGACCGATCAGCTAGGTGGTGGCCGGTTGCTGGCGGTAGGAGAGAGAAGTCGACGCTCAGCGCATTTCTTTCCTCGCTATAAAAAATCTGATGCGCTTGAAAGTATCGCGCTGCGCTAAAAGCGGTGGCTTGGATGGTTGCCAACTGACGGGGTAACTTGGACACCGCAGTCGGCCCAATGTGTATCTTGTGTGGAATGGCTTAGTGCGGGCTGAGAGACTCAGGCTCAATGGTTCCTTCTTAATGTGGCCTTTATGGCGTTGCCAGGCGGGAGCCTACCTAACGAGGTGTGGTATTGGTACGCGTGTTGAGTGTTAGTCGCGTCAGCCGCCTGCGCTCTCCCCTCACTCCAGACTTCTTGACTGTTGTCTTGACACCGGATCCCGGTGTGGGAGGGGTTAGAGAGTGGGGTAGATTCTCCGCAAGTCTATTTTCACTATAATCCTGCGGGAGTCAGTGCGTTACTTCAGCTTACTGAGGTGGACGTCGTTGGGAGCGACGGTCGGACTGTCAGTCATAGTAATATTCGCATCAGTAGAAGTAGTAATACTGATACTGCTACCGTCACTGATGTCCCAATACCCGCTGATCCTGTTCTTTTTCCCACCCCTCTGCCTCTACTATCAAAATTCCTACGAAGAAGACGAAATGCAATCCCGTAGTGGGGCCAAATCAAGAAAGGGAAAATGGACGTGATATCGCAGAAAAAAAGAAAAAATGATGCGCAAAATACTACTAAAGATAGTGACTCCAGAAGAAGCGGGAGACTGAACAGGAAGGAAGAAACAGAAGAGGTTACCTTAAGGTCGGTACAACTGTTCCGTTGGGCAATAATTTTCTCCACGTATGAGGTATTCAAGGCCTCTAAGCGTTTGTTTTCGCGCATAAGTTGCGCCAAAGTTGAAGCCAGTTCGGACTCGTCCTCCTCCTCCTCATCCTCGTCCTCTTCCTCCTCCTCATCGTCGTCCTCGATATCCGGCAGCTCACTCGACACCTCGGAGC